CATTAGCATTAACATTTGTGTGTCCTCACTTTGAGCATCACATCCTTTGTGTTGCTGCTTCACCGCATAAATATATGTATGTAAGCTCTTTTTACATATTTAACAGGTCAGCATTCATCTGCCTGTTTATTACATTACCCTTGTTTCTGCTTTTCGTGGTCTGCCTGCTTTTTGCCAGGAAGTCCGATACTGTATGGCTGAGCTGACGGCAGCATTCTCAGTCACCAAGAGCATCAGTGGTGATTCTGTCAGGGACACTGATGAGTCAGCTCATTTCAGCCGGATGAGTCACTGTTAAAGATTTGTTCAATAACAAAAGCCATGGTGACACAATGGGGAGATTTACCAGAGAAGAACTGCACAAAAAATGAACTAGAGATGTCGTTTCAAGAAGCAAGTATTTTTTAACAGCTTTTCAAATGGCTGCTTCAGGTTCCTAAAATCTCCTTCAGCCAAGTTTCACTCTAACGTCAGTTTGTTCTGGAGGGAGAGTGTGAGCTTGTCCTCGGGCACTGAAGCCTGCAGCCTCCCAACGCTGGTGGGGGACACCGGCTCATCATGCTGTTCATGTATGTAGAAACAAAGCAGCTACTGCGACCTCCTGCACTGGCAGGGAGCTGTGCATGAAGCCATATCATCCATTCTAAATAAAGATGATTAAAAAAAAAAACAAAGTTAAAGTGTTAAAATGTGTTTTGCTAAAGTGACATTTCAATAAAAAAGTCAGTTCACTGTAAGAGAAACTAAAGTAACATCAAACTGATCTACAGCTGGAGGATCTCTGTGTTGCTGCTTCACCACATAAATATACGTAGGTAAGCTCTTTTTACATATTTAACAGGTCAGCATTCATCTGCCTGTTATTACATTACCCTTGTTTCTGCTTTTCGTGGTCTGCCTGCTTTTTGCCAGGAAGTCCGATACTGTATGGCTGAGCTGACGGCAGCATTCTCAGTCACCAAGAGCATCAGTGGTGATTCTGTCAGGGACACTGATGAGTCAGCTCATTTCAGCCGGATGAGTCACTGTTAAAGATTTGTTCAATAACAAAAGCCATGGTGACACAATGTGGAGATTTACCAGAGAAGAACTGCACAAAAAATGAACTAGAGATGTCGTTTCAAGAAGCAAGTATTTTTTAACAGCTTTTCAAATGGCTGCTTCAGGTTCCTAAAATCTCCTTCAGCCAAGTTTCACTCTAACGTCAGTTTGTTCTGGAGGGAGAGTGTGAGCTTGTCCTCGGGCACTGAAGCCTGCAGCCTCCCAACGCTGGTGGGGGACACCGGCTCATCATGCTGTTCATGTATGTAGAAACAAAGCAGCTACTGCGACCTCCTGCACTGGCAGGGAGCTGTGCATGAAGCCATATCATCCATTTTAAATAAAGATGATTAAAAAAAACAAAGCTAAAGTGTTAAAATGTGTTTTGCTAAAGTGACATTTCAATAAAAAAATAAAAAAGTCAGGCCTCTGTAAGAGAAACTAAAGTAACATCAAACTGATCTACAGCTGGAGGAATTTTTAAGTAAATGGTGACTGGAAACAAACTTATAAACAGATCTTAAATGGCATTCTTGATTCAAATTACTGAAAAATACTACCAACATTTCAGTTATTCATAAAATCTTCTCATTTTTCATAAAAATGAAAATTGTATTTAAAAAAAGAAGCACTGAAAACATAAACATTTTAAACTGTAGGTTAAGAGGGAAACTGTCTAGTTGTCCATGCACAGGCCTAAAGAAGCACATCTGTGGACCCGTCCACATCTGGCAGACAGTTTGACCCACATGCACCCAGAGTCCAGGTGCAGTGAAACTCAAGCTGCAGTCTGGTTTCCTCAGCCGGCTAAGCATGGCCCCAAGTGATGGGGGACACAGCAGCCAATCAGATAGTTAGCTCTTTATGGAAGGTAATCCAGGGGTAGTGTGTGTGTGTGTGTGTGTGGCCTCACTAACAACTGTGAATTAGGCTCCATTGTTTCAAATTTCTTGTATTTTGTATTTTGTCTTCTGAGTATCTTTGTACGTGTGCCTTTGCAGCTGTGCCTCCATGTGTGCATGCCTGAGCACATGTCGGTGTTTATATATGTGTGCTGTCTTTGTAAGATGAGGACATTTCCCCTGAGGTGGTGCATGTACAGATCTCTTTCGAAGACCCCCCCCACCCCCACTCCCCTCATGAACAACATGTTCCCCGCAGAGTGCAGCCTGTCCGTCAGAGCAGAGCCTTTCTAAAGCCCTGATGTGTTTTGAGAGGGGTGCTGTGAAAAGCAGCACAGTGCTGCGGCTTTCTGTGCTATTTACCCAGAATCACAGAGCAGATGAGCATCTTGCCGTGGCCAGTAGCCGTCCTTAAGAACGTGCCAGCTGAGGTGTTTGTCTGCTGCAGACAACTTTGAACAGCAGAGCTCTCTTCACAGCGTGGGGTCTTTGTCTGACTGTTTACAATGAGATTCACGTGTCTCTCACAGTTCAGCTCATGTCAGCTCACCGCGGCCTCTCAGCTTTGACATCCTCTCACAGAAGGGACGTGTTGGGTTTAGTGATCTGGGGCCCTGTTGACCCAATGCAGCTCACCCACTTCTTTGTTTACACCATTTACATTCTCGTCACTTGTCACTGACAACAGTAAACACATCTCAACTCCGACTCATTCACTCACAACACAAAACGTTTTCTGACTAGTCAGCATGATTTTTAACCTTCAGTATGACGAGATGATCCCGATGCAGCCGATGTCATTTCTTATTGCTGACAGATGTCCGCTGGGCTTAGAGGTCCTGCTGTGGTTTCTACATGAGAAGTCCTGGCATCTTGCTACCTCAGCACAGTGGGATGCCCTGTGATCTTTGGTGATCAGTGACAGATGATGTGACTTTGGGGTTTTTAGCTAGGCTGGCCGAAGCATGGTTCATCCCCCGAGTCACACCCTCAAATTCAAGAAGGGGAATCATTCGATCAGAGGTGAAGTTTTGTATGTTAGTGATAGACATGTGTAAGGTGATGCTAAACCTCAGCCTGCTGCACCTGGTCCCGATGAGCTGTCAGGACAAGTCATTCATATCTGTGCTGTCAGATGCCTGCTGAGCCCTGGGATCAGCGACAAGATGCGCAGGACAGGAAGGGCTGTGTGGGTGCTTTGTACACATATTGCTTCAGATAACCTTGAATGGACTGTTGCGTTGGAGACAAGCCTGTATGGTGACCGTGGAGAGGGGGGGGGCAAACCTTATAACTCTACAACAACAGATAAACTAAACATTCAAGATGTTGCTGCTGCTTTTTCAACAACTAAGGTTCAAGCAAATAATCTGCTCAAATGCTGATTTAGAAATCCTGTCCATGAGCACTTCAGAACGACCCTGTTATACAGTAGGTCATGGTTTAACCCTGGACACTGACATTAGGTCAGTGTTCCCTTTGCTTTGGGACATCTGTCAACAGAACACAGACAACACTCTCTGTGGCTACAGGGAGGGAATATACACTGCTCAAAAAAATAAAGGGAACACAAAGATAAGACATTTAACTATGTTGTGTTCCCTTTATTTTTTTGAGCAGTGTACTTCTTATGCCCTCTTGGCAAGCTTTGATCTAAACAGCCCTGCAACTTCTACTGCATCATAGACACATTCAAAGTTATTTTATTCCCAACCACTTCAGTCCTGCTCTAAAGCCACATAAAGCCAGATTGCTGTTGGCCAAAGATTCAGGTCAGGCCAGGCTGAAAAAGGCTGATCCACATGAAACAGCTGCAACACTAATAGTAATAACACTTAAGTGACAAGCAGAGGTGATGGTAACATTTACATTACATCTCTTGTGGTTTGTGTCCTGTGATGGTACATTTATAGTACATTACATCTCTTGTGGTTTGTGTCCTGCTTCCTGTTTTGGGCTATTATTTTGGTTAGTTTCCTGTCCCATGTCACCTCACCTGTCCCAGCTTCACCCTGGTGCACAATTTCTGTTCAATGCTTCCACTTGCTGCTCGTTACCGCCTGGTTTTCCTGTCTTTATATCCTCCTCCCTTCTCTCAGTCTGGTTGCTGGTGCATCTGATCTCCATGTCTCGCTTGTTCCTGTCTCCTGTGGTCCCTCCTTGATCTCCACACCTGGTTGCTTCCTTTGCCTTCACTTTCTGTGTCTGAACACTTGTGAGTTTGATGTTCTGCTGCCTTGGGTTTGTCATTCTGAGTTTGTTACCAGAGTTTAGTTCTTGGCTCCTTGACCTTTCTATTAATCTTTAGTTTTGTCCTGTCAGGTGGAGCACTCACTGATTTAGTTTCTTATTTTTGAATAAAGACTGTTAAATTATTAGAACCAGTATTTGTGTTTGCCTGCCTGAAGCCCAACAATATCCTTCTACAATGAACAAGTCTTGTTTTTTATTTTATTTTATTTTTTAACACTGTGCACTTAACCTAATGTAATACAACAGACTGGTTTCAGAAAAGCACAAATGAATCACTTTGCTTATTTGAACTCTTTTGTTGTCCCTATGTAATTTTCTAACTGATCACTTTTGTTCCTGTAGCTAATGAACCTTTACCCAGGATGTGATGGGCTGTGTTTACAGTTCCAGCTGATGGCAGCAGACCCAGCCAGCTCTTTGCTCAGTGGCTGCTCTGATGATGCTGTTTCTGCAGTGTCAGCACTCAGTCAGTGTTGCTGCACTGTAAGACACTGGGAAAGACCAAGCTTTTAAGCAACAACTTGTCACTGTGTTCTAACATTTTTTCCTCAGTATTAAAAGTGTGTGCAGTTTCTCTTGTGCAAAAGCTTGTTTGAGGCATTTTGTTCTAAACAGTTTTATAATAAATCTTTACACATCTTCCTATGTATTCAGGACTATTAATCCATGTAGCCTATACGGCTTAGTTGTCCAGAACGCCAATAAACCCCATATGGTTTTGCGAGGGGACTGAAAACAGAGAACCGTACAACCCCCGTTATCCCTTTTTGAGCCTCTTTCTCCCGCTCAGTGTGATCAGTTCAGTGCTGCTGACTGTGTTGGACTCCAGAGCGTCACCCCGACCTGACGCACTCTTGTACCAGAGCACAGCTGTCACCAGTACTTCATGCTTATTGGCCCAAGACCGAGAGAGGCAGAGGCAAAGCAAAGGCAAACAACTGGGGAGAGAGAGAGAGAGAGAGAGTTGGACCCCTGCGCTCCGCTCCATCGATCCGCAAAGGCGCACAGAGGAGCTTCCGTGGGACGTCGGCCACAGTTTCTAAGCGATTTGGGGGGATATGCCAAAAGTGGATTCGCTGTTTGGATCATGCTACTGGGAATTTTGGTACGGTAAGACCGTGCTAGTTTCGCTGTTTGGTTGGCATGTCGCTTTGTCTTAACTTCTCATTTGAACAGTTTGCGTGCAGCTCCCCCCCCCTCCCCCGAAAAAAACAAGATTGCAGAATTGATATATCGACGTGTGACTGGGAGAAGCGCACTTTGCCTTACTTCCGTGCAAACCTGGACATTTGGAAGCGTTACCTTATAGAGACGAAATCCCATACCTCTGAATGAATATGAATTATGAAGCAGTGACAGATGGTGTCCCCTGTCACCAGGGGTGTGAGGGTGAGGAGGATCGGGTGGGGCAGCTTGGCAACACTGAGATTTATTTACCTGAGAGGTAAAGGTAAGCAAAAGCTGCAGGTTACACCACGGACATGCAACCATCAATGAAGCTACGGCTTTTGTAGTGAATTAAGTTAATGTGCTAAATGTAATGATGAAAACCGTGTAAGAAGAGTTGCATGTTTCTGTAGTGAGAAGCTTGTTAGTCTTCAGCTGACAGACTCGCACACTGAAACGTAAAATGTTTTTTACATTTCTAGCTAATACTAGAGGTAAAATCCACTGCAGTGTTCTGGGCTGCTTGCACATCACATCAGACACAGTCCTGCTGAGCTGACAGTAACATAAGTTACATGTGCTGTGAACGCGCTGCGCAAGTTCTCTATCTGAACATAGACAGCACTGGTTGCTTAATTCTGTTCTGATTTGTGGACTTGCTTCCTTTTGATGCTTTTATCTTGGTTAGTTTTCTGTCACCTCACCTGCCCTAGCTTTACCCCGGTTCACAATCACCATTGTTTCCACCTGTTGCTCATCATCTCCTGGTTTTACTTATATCTCCTCCTCCTCCTCCTCCCTTTCCTTACTGCTGGTTCACTTTGTCTCCGTGCCTCGTTGCCCTTGTCCTTTTCATTCTTTCAGCTCACCACTCCTGCATCCCTGCCCCCTAAGTTCAGTACCCGTCTCTCGTTTGAATTGTCTGTTTGTCAGATCAGCAGTACTTTGGTTTATTTCGCTGGTTTGCTTTTCATTTTGTACCCAGCTCCCTGACCTAGTCTTGTACTTGTAGTTTTACTACGTCAGGTTGAGCCTTGTATTTTGTTCCCATTTCTTTTGTGTTGTCTTGGCTTGGGTCTGCGTATTTTGGTCCTTCCCTTGCCCGCAACATAAATTCAATTGTTCAGGTTCTCAGATGCTCCTCCTGCTCCAGGGGTCCCGGAAGGGTTTGCAGGAGCTTTCCTCCCAGTATTAGTTCAAGTTCAAAGACTGAGCAGCCAAGAAATGTCTGCATGACTTTAAATCAAATCAGAGCTTGGAGTGTGTAGATCAGTTTGTGCCTAGTCTACATGTTCTTGAGCTATTGATTTATACATTTCCTGTGATGCCCTGAAGAACTTAAACATGTGTCAGCTCCCTTACATTTAAAGCCATGACTGAAGATATGGATGAGAAATAAAGAACTTGTAATGGCTGAAAAGCATATATATAAAATGGCATTACCTCTGCACTTGCCTGAGTGTTACAGGATGTGTCCTGTATCTGGAGTTGCACATTTAGCTTGAATGCATCCTCACAGCATTTTAAACTTTGTGTGGGGATACAAACATGTTTGGCTGCCTCACTGTGTCAGAGAGGCGGTGAACATGAACACCATGTCTTATTGTTTCTGTTACTTCTCTTCTGCCGAAGCAGTGCAGACTCATTTGCTTTGACTATTTCAGGAAGGTCTGTCTCATGGTAAACTTAATCTGTCCAACATTTAGATTGAAGCTGTGCTTGCTCCTTACCTGACTCCAAAGGAGAGCTGCACAAGAATTCCTATATACCTAGACTGTCTGTTTATGCATAAATGGCAAATAAAAATCTTGCTCTTACTGTGTACACATACGTGGTTTAGTATGATCCAGGCCTTGAGATGTTGCTGTGAATGTCTCACTGGGTTCTGTACAGTGTGACCACGGTGGAAACTAAACCTTTATCAGTTGTGGGGAAGGGGTTCTTCTGACCAGATCACACAACACTCAACTTCAGTTTTTCCAAATGGTGACCCGCTGACCTCTGACCCCTTGGGTGAAATGTGAACTTGAATGTCGCTCACTGGAAAAGAAAACAACCCCTTAGTTGGGGCAACACATACTGTAGCAGTGTTCGCCTCTCCGGCCCTGTTTTAGTAAGCATCATCAGTAAGTGTCCTTGAGCGAGAGAGCTCTTGACTGCTGAGCCTGAGCTTCGATGTTCATGACTGGGAAGTGGACCGGAGTCAAACTAGTGGTGCTTGTGGTTTCCTGCAGGTAGTGCTGGTCTTCTGCCTGTTGGGGACTGATGTCAGCAGAGCTTATGTGTTCCAAGCCAGCCGGCCAGTAGAGGGGGGAGACAACCCGGCGCCTCACATTAAAGGTAAGATCGTCGCACAGGGCGTGTGGAAGCAACCGCTTGAATTACATTTGGAACAATCCTGGAAATTACAGCTGATTGTTCTGGCTTTAAAGGGCGGAACCAGAGGCTCCCATTTTAATTTAATTACCGATACTTTAAAATCTAAATTCCATCAGGGCATTTTGAACTCATGTGATTAAAAAAACACATTTAGTTGCCTTTATATTTATTATATTGTTAAAGGTATTTCGTCATGTGGCTTTGCAATTGCAAGTGCCATTTGTGGAACATTTAAGTGTGTTTTCACATCTGACAGTTATTACCAACAAAGCTTTGCATTGTCATCTTGATGTAAAATACAATCCAGAACACAAGAGAAAAAAAAAAAAGCAAAGACAAAGATACTACTGAACTTCATTGTCACAGTTTCCACTTGTCAGTACTATAACGTTGATAAAACACAGGCTATTATTCAGTCAGACCTTTAGTCTCTGGTTTCATAGTGCGCTGAAATGAACCAAAGTCATGAGCTGCCTGCAGACAAACATGTGGTGGTTTGTCATTATTTGAAATGTGCTTGTTGTAGTAAAGAACCTGCACATACACTACATATACATGGTCCTTTAATGATGTTAGTTACATATACATGGTCCTTTAATGATGTTAGTAAAGTTCTAGTCAAATAAGGTGAAAGTATGAGATTTATATATTATTAATAATTGGCATTAAAAAATTGAATGTCCAGCTTTGCAGCCGAATGTTTTTGCAGCTGCTGTGTCTAAGTGTTGCCCTCTCCGTCCTCCAGTCATCTCAGAGTGGGTCAGCTCAGCGGGCTCCTGTAAGGGGAGGTGCTTTGAGCTGGAGGAAGCCAAACCTCCAGGATGCAGATGTGACAACCTGTGTAAAACCTACTACAGCTGCTGCTTCGACTTTGACGAGCACTGCCTGAAAACAGGTCAGTCTGACACAGTGTTCGGGCCCTGACTTCTAAGCCGAGCAACACTCTGTACTGTAAACCACTGCACAGGAAGTTGACAGTGTGTTAGCATGAGAAACATTCTGGTACTTGTATGCCATGACGGTCTGCCAGTGAATTGTGAAGCAGATTCAGTTTCTAAATGTTAGAGGAGCAAACACTTAGTGTGCACAAGTGCTCTCTGCTGTCGCTGATATAACCAGGACAAAGAGGCGCCTCCAAGTTGGAGTTAGCTAGAATGCTCATTTTCAATCAGTCAAAATGTATTTATATATCACTTTAAAAACTACATCCGGTTGACCAGGTAAGAACTGAAGTAAATGAGATCAATACAAGAATAAAACAAGATAGTAACATAAACACACAAATTACACCGAATCAATAGTGAGAAGAAGGAAGCATCAGACATTACTATGTATTAAAAGTCAAAGCGAATAAATATGTTTTAACCAATGATTTAAAAGTTATCAAGTCCATAGATGATCTAATATTGGGACATAAACTATTCCAGTTTTCATCTGATGCTAATTTAGACTTTGGCTGGTTGACGTCAGTGCAGCCTGAGCTTCATCTTGAAAATGTTAAGTACACAATACTAGGACATGTTCCAGCACAGAAACATCTGTCCGCATGAATTCTACAACCATGAGCTTCTTGTAAAGCTGTTTACAAGGCCCACTTTGCTTCTAATTGACTAGTGCTTAACACACTGTGGGTACCTGATGTGTCATTTGTAAAGGTAACGTATGGATTCATGGTGTTGTAACGTTGTTTACTGCAGCCTCAGCAGAGTTACTGTAATGATTTATTGTGTATTTTCTTCCCTGCTGTGTCTCAGCGGGAGGCTTCAAGTGCACGCAAGAGCGTTGTGGGGAGGAGAGGAATGACGACCACGCTTGCCACTGCTCAGACGACTGTCTGGACAAAGGAGACTGCTGCTCCAACTACAAGTCGCTCTGCAAAGGTACTCGCCATGAGAAATGCTTCTTGTTTACAAGATTTAGAAATGGAGACTAAATATGCAAGAAAATGGGTAAAGACAGTGTCCTGTTGATTTTTTTATTAGGTGAAACGTCATGGCTGCAGGACGACTGTGAGGAGATCAAGAGCGCCGAATGCCCTGCAGGGTGAGAAACTCACCTGTGGAACAAAATAGATGCGCAGTGATACATTTTTACACATGACTGCATGTTATGCACCAGTGTAATTATTAATGTAGCTAAGAGTATGTTAAGAGGCAGTGTCCTAACCTTCAGACTCCCAGAAGAAACCCTAAAAGCATTTTCAGAGTACCGTCAAGGTTAAAGGTTATTGCTCACCTCCAGGTGTTTAACTCATCACCTTGCTGCAGTAGTGTACAGGTGTACTCAAGGGCATTCAGTACAATGTGACATCACTTTTGTGTACAGGTACAGTAAAGCATGCCTACAGTAAAGCTGAGGGACTTGCAAGAGACAGAGAAATCGTCCAAACTGTTTCAGCAAAGCTGCAGAGCATGAGAGCGCTCTTAGTCCCTGTAGTGCAGCTCAGTGTTTTCCATTAGAACCTCTTTGCATCGTGAACATCCACGCATTTCAAAATCCTCAGGTAGACAGGCAACAACGTCACTAAGAAACCATTTTAGTTGTACGATGGATTTGAGTCTGACCGACCAAACGACAGTCATCGACCATGATCCATAGCAACAGTGGCCCTGTTTAGAAGGAGGCGTCCAAGTGGGGGGTGTTCTCAAAATTAACTGATCCTTGTTGAGATGTTTTAAGTTGTTTAAAATAACCTTTGAATGTTCCAAAACTCCTATTTCTGACTGGCGCTTTGGTCTTCCTCACGCTCCTCAGCTTCATCCGCCCTCCCCTCATCATGCTGTCTGTCGATGGCTTCAGAGCCTCCTACCTGAAGAAGGGAAAATCTGTCATCCCCCATATGCATAAACTCAGTATGTGCTTTTTACTTTTCTTTACCTGCTGTGCAGTAAATGCAGTTGCAGTAATCGCAGCAGCTGTGATCTGTGTGAATCTTAGAACATGTACATTACCACACATTGCAGGTTTATGATTCTCCCCTGGCTGACTATTATGTTTTGGTGAGTTTAGTACTGAAACGTTTACATGTTTCCTCTCAGGAACGTGCGGTACATCAGCGCCCTACATGCGACCAGTCTACCCGGCAAAGACCTTCCCAAATTTGTACACCTTGGCCACGGTGAGTGACCTTGGATCGTGTCTGTGTGACTGGTTTGTACCCTAGACACATGGCACTAGTGAAAGTAGGCTAAGTAAATACAACCGTTTGTCAGTGTTCTTGTTGTGACAGTGCTGCAGGGCCGGTCTGACTTTAGTCTGTGTCTGCAGGGCCTTTACCCAGAGTCTCATGGGATTGTGGGGAACACCATGTATGACGCGGTGTTTAATGCCACCTTCACCCTGAGAGGCAGAGAAAAACTGAACCACCGCTGGTGGGGCGGGCAGCCTGTGAGTAAACTCAGCTCTTTATGTGCAGCTTGTGATTGGATTTGAATAAGTTCAGAGTGGCAGGTTGTTTAAATGAACCAGCGTGACAGAAGAATGTGTTGCACTGAGCGTCAGTCAGTTACTACGTCACTCAGTGGGGTCATTTTAGGTTCTGACACAGATGAACCTTCGTAAAGCTTGTAGTTTCACATCCTAGTCCTCAGTGAAGGCCCACCGAGAGATGTTTGGTGAAAGCTACTGTAGAAAATGAAGGAATCTGACAAAGTGCTCTTGTCCCTGAATCATATGGGAAGGACAACACATCACATTTTATTTCTACTCGGAGCCTAACGTCACACAGAGACTGCTAACCCAACTCTGTCAAAACAGAAAAGTTACACTTCAGCAACTCCAAAACTATCTCTCTATAAATTTAACAAATCGTGTATCTCACTTATTTTAACTGTAGGAAAAGTAGATATCATTGTTTTGGGGTCGGTTTGCTGCGAGCTGCCACAGCTGGGTGTAGTAGGTTCTCTAAACTCAATGCAGCATTTTAAAGGGTCGTTGATGCTTTTGATGGAGGTGAGCTAGTAGACTGTGCTTCCATCTTGCTGCTAAGCTTAAAAACCAACCCGAGCCTTTCCCTGTAACGAACTGACAAAACTGCATGTTGATTTTCTCATTTAGATTTCTGAATATTAACCTTCCGTCCTTTTTTGGTGTCACAGATTTGGATCACAGCAGAGAAACAAGGAGTGAAAGGAGCCACCTTCTTCTGGCCTTGGTACTTAAGTTAGTACTAGAATATTTTTCAGTAGCTTCATGCCCTGAACGCAGCATATACTGAGAAGGTGGGAGCATGTGAAAAAGGTAGCTCAGGAGGCAGCTAATATCGGTTATTGTATGTTATGTAGCCTCTGTTTTGGTCAAATGTACATTTTGAATTGCAACCTACAATGCAGTTACAAATGCATCACCAGACCCTTGTGCCATTTTCTGGGGTGAACTGACAAAACTACTCGGGTAAATATGGTAAAAGACAGTTATGAGACCGCCCGGTGTCGTACCCCTCACTGTGTGCGGCGGGTGCTGCACACAGACACTGTTACAGGCAGCTCGGCTCCCCTGTTCATTTTTATTACATCAGTTCTTTAATGTGATGTTCTGCTTCTTAATCATCACTCCCCGTGTTTGATTTCCAGGGTGATTCCTCTGGAGAGGAGGATTTTAACAATCCTGCACTGGCTGCATCTTCCTGATGATGAGAGGTACATCTTTGCAGACCTTTTAGTTTTTATTTAACCACATGAGAATTTTTCTTAGTTTTTTCCAAGCTCGGTGCTTTGTACCTGTTCGGCTGTCAGGTTTTCTGCTGCTTCTCCACTGGACTGAAACACTCCTGACGGCCCAGTGACTGTGGAGTGTCTGGTTGGGTTGTGTGTGCCGCTGTGTTAACTAGTCGTGCTCTTGTACAGCTTTGACTGACAGTATGTATTTGTTTGTAATATCATGCAGATGCATTTTAAAATATAAAAAAACTTCAACTGTATGTTACAGCTCAGTGATTGTCATTGGTCCTCTGTGTGTTTCCCACAGTTGGGAGTGAGCTGGTAAGTGTCTGCTGGGGAGATGTTGGCCCAGTGAAGCCGATAGGTGTTGTTATAGTGCAGCGAGGCACTGGGTTTCTATATGTAGGTCTGTGTCTGTGCTCACTGCCAGAAACAACAGGCTCAGCCAAGGGTTTTATCTTGTTGACTCACCATGGTCACCCCTGACACCTGAAGGATTCTTTAGGTCAAAGTAGATGGTAAAGAACCTCACACTCAACTAGAGACAAAGGCTGAGCTGCATGAGTAAAAATACAAAGCACAAAGTAGAGTTTGGATGCCCAAATTATCGAGGTGTTTCCTTTCACTTAGTTACTGGAGCTAAATGTAGTTATTTGAGCTACAGCTTGTGTCACAGCAAAGTAGACCTGATGATGAAATGGTCTGTGCCATCTGGTCTCCAGGCCGTACATCTATGCCGTCCACTCAGAGCAGCCCGATACCTTCGGACATCGACTGGGACCACTCAGCAGCGAGGTGAGACCTGAAGGAAAAGCACTGACAGTGACCCAGACACGTTCATGTCTGGGTGTCAGCGGAGGCGGGAGTTATGTTTCATCACGGTGTCAAACATACCTGAGTCCCGTGCCGTGTGTCCTGTCTATAGCTGGATAACCCTCTGAGGGAGATCGACAGCATCATCGGTCAGCTGATGAACGGCCTGAAGCAGATGAACTTGCATCGCTGCGTCAATGTCATCGTTGTGGGAGATCACGGTATGAACCCTGTGTGCCCATCCAAGCTCGGTTGTTTTCTGTTGTTAAGCTGTTTGTTGGAAGGGAACAGAAGTGAGCTTCAATCCACAGAGTTCACTGAATAATATTTACTGGAGCTACTTTGTCCCAGTAGCAACAGGCTAAAACAGAGTTTTCAAAGTTACTTGGATGTTGTTTCTTTGCGTGGCACCTCCGGTCACTCCCAAAATCATGTCAAATGAAAAACAAAGCTGTGAAAATATCTTTTATGTGAACTGACCCTTTATGTACAGTAACAGAACCCCTGATTGTTGTCTCTCAGGTATGGAGGAGGCCCATTGCGACAGGAAAGAGTTTCTCAGCAGCTACCCCCTCAACATAGATGAGATCATGCTGATCCCCGGCTCGGTGGGCAGAATACGCCCCAGAGACCCCAAGTCCAGCTCATGTAATGCAGCACTCTAGTTTTAAACAAAGACACAACACATCAGGTTCATTAACACTTCGTTTCCCTTCTGCAGATGACCCACAAATAGTTGTTGCAAATCTCACTGTGAGTACTACAATAAAACGCACAACTTTTCCTGTAGTTTCTCAAACTGCACGTCTGCCAGTGTGGGAGACGAGGGGAGGGGGGTTCAGATTCCTCACGTCTGGGTTTGTTGTTTCAGTGTAAAATGCCAACTCAGCGCTTCAAGCCGTACCTGAAGCAACATTTGCCCAAGAGGCTTCACTACGCGAACAACCGCAGGATCGAGGACGTGCACCTGCTAATGGAGAGGAAGTGGCACATCGCCAGGTAGCCTCTGAGTTACTGATACTTAACACCAGTAAATCATGGTCTCACTGACTGAGACAGGAGTGAAGTCAGCCACCACAGAGGAGACGCTGGCCTCCAGCAGCACCCGCTTTAACCTGTGGTTTTTGGTGACCCTGCACTGACCCGAATCTCAGCTCCACCTCTTTGTTCATCTGGGTTCAAGGTCAGGTCGGGGTCATTTTTGTGAGTCCTTGAAACGTGCTTTGGACAGAGAGCGTCCAAGTGACAGTGACTCCTTAGAGGATTTGTCACGCTACACACTGAGGAGTGATTTTTATGCCTTCATCACAATGACAGAAGGTTCACTGCCAGTCAGGGCTAATCAAACGTTTGTTTCAGGAAAATGCCAGAAAAGCTGAGGACTCACTGTGGTTTCTTTGGTGACCACGGCTTCGACAACAAGATAACCAGCATGAGGGTAAAGTGCTCTTTTTCTCCTGCACTGCGTCTACTTTGTACTTTATATATGGTTGATGTATGTTCATTAGCTTTCCTGTGGACCTTTTGTAGTTTACCTCTGTAGCACTATGGATTACTGTCATAAGTATCTCATTCACATGCACATTCCTGTTTCTATTCTATCTCTGGTCGACAGGTTGCAGTAAAGTGCCAAGAAAATAAAAGCAGTGCATCAGGAAAAGAGAAGTCCACAGAGCACCTTTAGGGAATATCTGATTAATTCTTACCTTTTTGTATGCAGACGATCTTTATGGGCCACGGGCCGAGCTTCAGGTTCCAGAAAACAGTCCCAGAGTTTGAGAATATAGAATTATACAATGTCATGTGTGGTGAGAATATTTTTATTTTTTAATGCTGTGAAGTAGAACTGCATATCAACAGCCTGAAAATATGTTTGTCCTGTTGTTTAGTGTTCAGTTAGTAATGAGAAGGAGGAAAAACAAATGTCTGGCACAGTGGAGATGTTATGTTCTAGTTGCTATCTGGTTATCCTGCAAAATGTTTGTGCTGTTATTGGGAACAAATATGGGATGTTTCATAGTTCATTTTTTCTGAAGCTATACTAAGGTTTTAAATGCAGCTATGCTTTGTTTAATAGACAGTTCTGCAGCATCAGCTCTTCAGTGACACACAGGCCACACACTGTTGTGTATTGTTGTTGTTGTTCTAGCTACAAACTGAACGGTCTCAGATTCAGTACCGAGTATTTCTCAGCGAGCTGAGCCACTTTCCTCTGTCTTCTCTTCTCCTCTGTGTCAGACTTGTTGGGGTTGAAGCCAGCCCCAAACAACGGGACTCACGGCAGCCTGAACGAAATGCTGAGGGAGCCACCGTTCCAGCCCCACATGCCAGAGGAAGGGACACCACCGTCCCCGGCACTTGTTGGGGTTGAAGCCAGCCCCAAACAACGGGACTCACGGCAGCCTGAACGAAATGCTGAGGGAGCCACCGTTCCAGCCCCACATGCCAGAGGAAGTGACACCACCGTCACCGGCGTCTGACTTGAAGCTCACTGTGACCCATGACCTGGGCTGCAGCTGTGATGATGAGGTCGGTGGAAGTCAAACTGATCTGCATGTTGTGTAACAGAAACTAAGAGCCACAATAACCGACATTCATCCATTTGGGAGCAGAACCACAGAGCACGCTGACATCTTGTGATCTTTGTTCTGTTCCAGAACAAAGTCGAGGAGATTATTGAAGCTTTCAATCCTGCACCAGATGGAATCTACAGCTACAGTAGGGTTCTCTGGGGTGTTTAGGGATGAATAACAGCAGCTGGAAGCCTGGCAGTAGGCACAGCAGAGCACACGCCAGCTGTATGGAGGCAGCTGCTGAAGGACTGTGTTGTCCAGAATATTTCATCTTGAACAGCTGCATCGCAGTCACCTTTGTAGTAACACATTAAATATACTGGAGAAAATCTCCCTGCTAGACAATGTGCTGGAAGTCTCTGTTGAGCATTTCCACTGCTCACCTCCATTGTGTCCTGTTTCCACTTCCTATTGTTTGTCTTTCAAAAGACAATTTCGAATTGTTTGCCATCTTTTTAACGAGACTGCAACAATATTGTATAGCTTAGGGTTTTCGCTGACTGTGTGTCTGTGTTTGTGCAGACAGCACCCACCTGCCATTCGGCCGTCCAGCGGTGATGTTTAATACACAGTACAGTCTTCTTCATCATGTGGAGTTCATCAGTGGCTACAGCAAAGAGCTGGCCATGCCTCTGTGGACAGCATACGCACTGCCACGGCAGGTACACACACACACACACACACACACACTCATCTCTATTTTCTCAGGAGCAAATTGTGTCATTTCACCTTTGTTCCCTGGAGACTCACCCGGCCCACAGCCTTTACACACCTCCATTATACAGTCCATCTCTCAGGTGGTTTTCTGCAGCATGTGAAAAGAAACACCAGGTCTGGATTTGTGCATGTGTTAATACTGATACAACAATCCACTTTCTCTGTTCATCTCCAGGAAAATCAACTTGAAGGTGAAACTGTGCCATAGATAGACCATCCATCACAGCTTTATTTGGGAAGTTTCCTTGTTGCTGTGTTTAAAGCTGCACAAATTCAACTATGCTTTAAACATCACTGAACAGTTATTGCTCATTTTCCGAACTTGAGTTTTTGACAAAACAGCTGATGTGCTGTGTTTTTTAATGATGTCATAGTTTCTCTGAAAGTGCCGTTGGCACCATCGTTCCTGCTTGCGGCCTAATTACATGGCAATTAAAACAAATTTGACTGTGATGGATGATCAGTCTGTGTCAAGTTTCTCTCTCAAGTGTCAAATAGATTTCCATAGCACACTGAAATAAAGTCAGAGCTACCAGAAACACACATGCTGTAACTAGATGTGCACTGTGCATTTCTACTATTACATCATGTCCTTGTTTTTTCCAGAAACAATATGTCACATTCTCCTGAGTGTACTAATAACACAGTGATATACTCACCAGCCACTTTATTAGGTACACCTTGCTAGTACAGGGTTAGTGTAAAGGGATGGACATGGTCAGCAACTATACTCAGGTAGGCTGTGGCATTTAAACAATGCTCAGCTGGCACTAATGGGCTCAAAGTGTGACAAGAAAATATCCCCCACCCTGTTACAGCACCACCAGCAGCCTGAAGCATCGATACAAGGCAGGATGGATCCATGCTTTCACCTTGTTTACACCAGATTTTGATCCTACCATCTGATTGTTGCAGCAGAAGTTAAGACTTGTCAGACCGGGCAACGTTTTTCCAGTCTTCTACCACCCATTTTTGGTGAGCGCTTGTGGAGCCTCATCTTCCTGCTCTTAGCCGATAGGAGTGGCACCTGGTGCCAGCAGACCGACAGTTTATGAAATACTCAGACCAGCCCGTCTGGCACCAACAACCATGCCATGTTCAAAGTCGATTAAATCAGCTTTCTTCCGAATTTCGATGCTCAGCAGATTGTCTTGATCATGGCTATGTGCCTAAATGAACAGGTGTATCTAATAAAGTGTCCGGTCAGTGTATGTTACTAGTAGGTTGTGGACTTCCTCCCCCAAGTCTTGACTTCCAGTCTTTCATTTACCTAAACTGGGTGTCAGGTTGTAAAAGTGTCAACAGGGAAATGTCAGTGCATGTGTCGTTTGCAGTGAGTGACGGTGTGTCTGAGTTGGAACTGCATGAGCATGTGAACACTAAATCCAGCGACCTGGAACACACACTCTGAACACGTTTGTCTGATTACAGGAGCAGGTTTACAACATGCAGCATGCATGGATAGCAGATGACTATATTAAACTATACATGAACATGTCAGGAGCCAGTAACTGCCTTTTCGCTCTCCTATCATGTCTCCTTGTCTCAGGAGGACTTGACTCCTGTTCCAGAGGTTCCTCTTGACGCTCACTGTGTCCGAGTTGACTCCAGAGTGTCAGCCGATCACAGTCAGAGCTGCACCGCCTACAGCCAGAGCAGCCACCTCACCTACGGCTTCCTCTTCCCCCCAGGTAAAGCTGCAGGACGACCACAGGATGCGCTGTGTTGACTTGACAGGGATTCCACCTGATTCACAGTCTGAAAGCTGATGTGGGCTTTTTGACACAGTGAGAAATGTCTGTCTCACAAATATGACTTTATGATCACTGTAAATCCAGTCAAACAGTGCTGTTACCATAATATACTGTACTACTATGTGCATCCAGCTTTGCTCTAAATACAAAACTGTTGCAACACCTACTGTATTTATTTATGTTTTACATAGGATGATGTTACGGTAGGTAGGTCAGGTCGGTCAGTTTGACCTTCTTTACTGTATATAACCAGTGATTTTTCACACGATCAGATTACACAACAACAACAACACGTAGTTATGTAATAACAATGCAACTGACATTTCCATACAGGATGTGTTTTATTCATGTGTTAAATAGCCATAATTACAGTCTGTAAAACGGAGAATAATGCAGCTTTTACATGACAAGTTGGAACCAGCTGTGAACTGCAGTGATTAAGCTCTTGTTACTCATTTCTTAATGATGCAGGTGTCAGAGAACAACCGCCCTTTAACTTTTTTTTCACAGTGAAGTTTCTCTGATGACAGGTAATAAGATCGTGTCTGGTGTTATTTTGTTGACAGAGCTGGCATCGTCGGCCGAGTCCAGATACGACGCTTCACTCATCACCAACACTGTTCCCATGTACCCTGCCTTCAAGAGTGAGTCACTGGCTAAAAATAAATGTGACTGAAGCTTCAGGTGCTTCAGTTAAAACAAGGACTGAATTTTACACATAAATTTGCACATTGTGTGGGGCTACAGGACAAGAGAAATGTTTCCCACAATATTAATAGCTACAAAATACATAAATCAAAATGCTAAAAATATTTGGGTAATAGAGACTTACAGATTTACAAAAGCTTGAACAACCTCCCTGCAGAGACTGTGTGGTTGGACAAACACAGCTCCCAAAGCCCTGCAACAAATATCAGTTTAGTGGCCGCCTTAGTATATGTTGTCTTTCTTTCTGTAGTGAGCTCAAAGAAAACCTGGGGCTATGGGGCCCTTTTGGAAGTTGTAACAAGATCAGGGAGCGTGTTTGTAAAACAAAAACCTTAAACAGCAGTGGTGTTTTCTGCAGGACATGTGCATGTATTTTTATCTTACTCAGTTGTGTGTATCAGATTTATCAGTTTCACCGTGTTTGAGAAAAAGGATGGGAAGGTGGTGATGTCGGCTGTGTGCGAGGGCGGCCTGGTACCCATTGTTTCTGTAAAGAGAGAGGCGACTTATCAGGGCAAAACACACACGCACACTGTGTGTGAATCACTGTGCAGATACACAGAATTCTTCATTGTCACCAGCTCTGTGAACAGAATGTGTGTCTGGAGAGTTTACTGGCTCTGTATTAAGGCTGTAAAGTGGTTTGGGTCTGTCAGGATTAACATGGCAAACGGCAGAGAGCTGCTCTACACACACGAGTGTTTTTTATTTTTCAGTTTCTGTTTTCAGGTCGGGCCATGGAAGCAGTTGTGCTAATGTGTTGTCAAGACTATAAAAGTCTGTTTGTTGTGAACCTGTGTTTAACTGAAATGGTCACCTCTTTTCTTTTGGCGTTGTTTTCAACCTTCTGAGAAAAAGTGCACTTAAAAAGTAATTAGTGGATTAAATGAATTAATGGATTACTTGACACTGAGATGTTCAGAAGAGCTAAAAGTGACATTCTGAGATCACAGCACAAGTAAGACCTGGTCTAGATGGAATCTGGTTGATGCATTCACGCCTGCATTGACACACCGGCTTCCTGATTCAGAGACGATTTCCAGACACAGATGTTTTACTGTCAGATAAGTTTAAGAAGGAGCTTCCATCGTATCAGAGGCCACTGGCACAGAAGGTCATTAGTTTCTACTGCATCTCGCGTCGTTTCCTTTTCATGCAGGAATCTGGAGTCACCTACAGGGGACGCTGCTGAGGCGTTACGCAGAGGAAAGCGACGGCATCAACATTCTCACTGGGCCCATCTTTGACTACAACTACGATGGCCTCCGCGACACCACAAAGAAAATCAGAGAGTAAGGCCTCTAGGCTTGTTGCTGATGCTGCAGTGGTCGTGTCCTGAGTGTGTTGATGAGTGTCACCTGCTACAGACTCTCTCCTAGGTTTTCTGAGGGGAAAACACAGGCTGAGAGACTTTATATTCAACCAGTATCATAGGAGAAAATATCATAAATGCTGTACCCTGTTGGAAAGCTACAACTGAAACATATGATCTGTTGAATTAAAATTAAAGATGAGGCTTGAAGTTTTAGATGGTCCACTTTCTGGAAATGTTTGGCTGCTTTCAGATGGACAGAGGACACTTGTGTTGTGCTGTGTTGCATCCCGAGCATGAAATCATTCAAATCATAGATGCCAATTACTGCCAAATATTTAAACTGCTGTAGATCTAAAGATCTCTACCAACAAACCAAACTTTCAAGCTGTAACAAGAAACATGTTTTGTTTCAATGAGGTCATTATTCTTCTCAGGAAACAAAGCATGTTTCTTGTTGCAGCTTGAAAGTTTGTTTGGCATTCTTTTTCCTCAAAAAGCCCTGCCCTTGACTAGTTTATAACAATAGTTGATTGTATTGTTTACTAAAGTTCATCAGTCCAGGTGCTGTGATATTGGTCTGTGTGTAGTTGTGTTGGGACGATGCTATGCTAACCAGGCGCATTGACCCTGATGGTTTCAAATTATTCATTTAATATTGTGCATCGTCCCCTGTGATCACACACAATGATAAACACCTGTCGATGCCGTTTATCCATGTGTCTCTGACCTCCGTGTCTCCCTGCAGGTTTTCACCCAACGTCCTGCCCATCCCCACCCACTACTACATCGTGGTGACGAGCTGCCAGGAGCTGAACCGGACTGTGGAGGACTGCGACGGGGCGCTCAGGGTCTTTTCCTTCCTGCTTCCTCACAGACCAGACAACAGTGAAAGCTGCAATGTGAGTTCAAACCAGTGCCAGTGGGAGGCAGTACTGCTCCAGCTGTGGCTGCAGATGCATGAGTTCACCTCACAGTAGAAGGAGATTAGATAAGAGGAGGAGGAGGAGGAGGAGGAGGTGAGAAGAACACTGAGCTGAGGGAGGTTACTAATTACATTTACTTAAGTACTACAACTAAGCAACATTTAAGGTATTTCCACTTCATGACACTTTATACCTGACTAGATTTTTTTGAAGAAACCTTCACTACTGCTTCACTGTATTTTATTACCAGCTACAGTAGCTATTAATTTACTGATTCAGATTTCTGCATACAAAACATGATCTTTAATTAGGTCAAATTTTCATATGTCTAAAAATTAATTCTGTTTTATAACTGATGAATCCTTTAAATATTTTTTTAATGGCAAAAATCTTGAACATGGTTTCAGCTTCTCACACGTGAGCAGTAAACCTCATTCTGAGGTTTCAACACAACCAGACATCTGAAGATGTCATTTGAGATAACAGTGACTGGCGTTACTCACTTTAACCAATCAATCAATAGATCAGGAAAATAATCAATGCATTACTCCGTGATGTAAATGACCATTAGCTGCATTCCTGTTTAAAATAGCTAAAAATGAGCTCCACCTCAACAAATTGAGTCAGATGGTATAACTAGTGTATCACTCAACTCAGGTGTCTCTCTGTATTGAGGACTTTTACTTTTAATACTTTTGCATAGGTTGCATTTTGAATGTAGGACTTTTCAGTGCTCATCCCCCACCGCTGCTCCATGACCTGGCTCACCTCTAACACATGTGAGACTTGATTCTTTCATATTCCCAGTTAAACAGAGGAAGTTCAGAAGTGCAATAACGATACCGTTACATCACTGTTACTATAAATTAGATAAGACCACATGTTTGGTTTATCAGAGACGGTAATTCAACTTGGTGATGTTTCTAGCAACAGTTTGCTTGTAGTGTTCCGTAAGCCTACAGTACAGTGCTGAGACCTCACTGATCTTCTTCGGGTTATATTTAAAAATGCTTAAAGATCATTTTTAAAACCACTGCATCATTTTCAGTACATTTAGGCTGCATTCCATCCCAGATCTGAAGTTTACCTCCTAGTGCCTCAGACCTGGTGTGTCCACAGCAGTGTGAACAGACCAGACCAGATGTCCTCAAACCAGATCTGGGCCACCTGCGTATGTGCTCCTAGACCTGATTCCTCTCTGACCTCTGACTATGGAGCGCCTTCAGAATGGTCAGGTTCATATGTGGTGGACGTTTATGGAGAAGCTTCTGATCAGGCCAAACTGGAAGGAACATATCGCAGCCCAGCGGTTTGGGAGGAAACTGGGCCATGTGACCGTCGCACACACCTGGTTGTTGTTCTTGTGCGCACGTGGCTCACATTTCAGGTACATCTGTGCACGTGTGGTAGTTTAGGAGCTCAGCGGTGTTCACGCCACAGACACACATGGACGGGAAGCAGCGACACAACAAGGTCAGATTCATAAGACCATTTATCATCTCTCCTCAGTAACTGGGACCAAATAAATTAGAAACTACAAGGAAAAAAAATGTTAATACATTTTTGGAATTATTAACTGCAAGTGTATAATCTTTATTATGAGCCCCACCAAAGCTGTATCACGTAAGGGGAATTTCCTTCTTCCATTCCAGTTCTGTTTCAGGACATAATTGTACAAGTTCTTCATAATTGTTCAAGGTCAGAAATGTCTGAGCATGTAGTAACAAATAGATTCTGACAACATTGCTTGACACTGCTTCCTTTGGAGTGGTCCAAGACGTGACTGATTACTGATGTAGTTGATGATCATACGCCCCCTGAGTCACACCAAGGAGGTGGTCATAGTGCTCAGAACAGGCTTTAGGGATGAATTAAAACATTACAGTTACAATCACATCATCTGTTCTCAAATAGAACCCCCATTGCCCCTGCTTTCAGGCTTTTAAATATGTTTCTCTGACGTTCTTCAGCGGGCCCATTAGGCTGTTTGTGCACCAGTAACAGTCTGAGCTGCACTCTGTTCACACTGTCAAAACATGTTCCCTTTTAAATATAAACTGTGTGCACTCTCTCATGAGCTGCAGAATGAAGGCTTATGTCAGTCTGGCTTGTGCTTAGTGCTCTGCAGTACATCTTATATTTATATTAAACCAACACACTCTTCTACATGAGTCAAGTCTCCTCTGTCTTGTACAGATACTTGCAAACATCAGCGTTGCTGTGGTCTAAACAGTAAAGAAGGTCAAAATTCTCCTGGCAAAGAAGAACGTGAAACTCTATAAAAAGCTAAGCTGTTTATCTTTGTTTCAGATTTTGGTGATTTCCTTTTCTTTCCTGGAAAACTCAGTCTCCTTTCTGTGCCAACTTTGTTGCTCTTTATACAATGTCACCAACATAATTAACGTTTCTCCTGCCATAATTACTATGCTTGAGGTTGCCTAAGTTCTTCAGGGGAAGACAGGCCTACTGGAAGGTGCAGTCTACCCCTTCTGATGATAAATATGGGCTTGATGACAGCTCATTCCATGATGTAATAACATTCCAAGGAAATTAGTGGAACTGGGTCCCTGTAGGTTCTATGGAGCTAATGAGGGAGTGGAGGACTGGCAAATAGACAGGTGCAGGAAACAGTTAACTGAAAATTACTGCAGGGCAGATAGGATATATGGGCAAAAACAGACAGGTATGGCTGGAATAACAGGGTTACTTTGAGCAAAATATACACAGGGATGTGTGGGCAGCAGAGATCATATATAAATAGTCTGGTCTAGACAGAAGTGAGACCAAAGTAACAGGCGCATTCTCAGATTCCACAATAAAGTCATTAAATTACAGGCGTTCATTTTTAGATCCTGGTTGATTTCCCAGGAAGCATAATTTTGGGAAAACTGCAGATGCAGAGAAGTTTGGATGTCGGTGTTAAATCAGGGGATAATTTTGCATGAAGGGAGAACATCAGTTGGACTGCATTTCAATGCTAGGACGTGCTTCCTATTGAAAGTAATTTAAAGCTGCAGAAACAAAACTTTTGTGTCACTTGTCATAATCTCACTCCTTGTCTTAAAGGAATAGCTCGATATTTTGGGGAAATACATTTATTAGATCAAAACACTTAAACTGTGTTAATGGAGCTGGAGGCAAAAGTGACTAGCCTATCTTAGCATAAAGTCTGAAAGTGTGTGTGTCATTGTCAGTGTTAGACTTTAGGTTTTGTATGACTTTTATGGGATGCATGGACTGGAAGCGAGGGAGAGTGCAGAGTGGAGAGTTAACAGCATGCAATTCCATTCAAAGTTTTGTTCCTCTGTTGGTTTGTGGGCTGGTTAAACAAACAAGATGCAGTTTACTGCGTGAGCTTAGCCTAGCTTAGCATTAAGACTAGGCAAGGGAAACTAGCACCTCCTAAGCTCACTAATAATGTTATGTCTTGTTTGTCAGATATGTTCACAACCAACACCTCAAAACAAGAGTGTGTTTTTTGGGAATTACATCTGGACGGAGCCAGGACAACTGTTTTCCCTTGCTACCAGTCTTTGTGTTAAGCTAATCGCCTTCATGATGGTGGTATTGATCTTCTTATCTTTCATGTGAACAAAAGTTATTCCCAAAACCTAAAACTTCTGCATGATAAATAGAAACATAAGTGTAATCTACAGTTAACTATATTCCATTTCTTACTATTTTAATTCAGATTTAAAGGGTTTCCTTGTACAAAATCAGAAAGTTTCAGTATCTTTTTGAAGTTTTGCATCTGTTTTGTGTCTACACCATTATGTAGAGGAGATTCCCTGTCTCCTGATATCATGGGCATGTGTAAGATGGGAATCTCCTCACTGTTGCCAAAATACGACAGCTGAGGCAGGCTAAGGCATGTACTAAGTACATGACTCACTGTTTTGTATAAGGAAATCGCTCTAGAATACAGGCGTAAATAAAAATGTGAGTCAGAGTTTTGTTGACATATAGGTACAAACCTGAGTCAGTGATATAATCTGGCACCAATTAGATGTACAGTACTGCTGTGTATGTAGTGTTTCTGCTTATTTGAACATAGATAGGTCTTTAAAAACTAAAATAGTAGCAGAAACCTCTCAAAAACCTCTACACATTAGAGGACAGCATTGGTGATTTTCTGTATTTTGATTTTCAACAAATCCCATCCAGAGACTAAAAGCAGCAATGAACTTGGGGCAGTAAGGGAAAACACGCACTAGGCAAGGTTGCCTCGTATCATGCCCGAGCATGATTATCCCACTGGCTTGCGGTCATGCTACGCTTCAAGTGATCCGGGCCGGAGCACGCTTATGTTGGCAAGATGCAGCTGAAGAGAAAATAAGAGCTTTAGGATGTCCTCAGTCCTTTCTCCACCTGGAAGTCATTCTGGCCCAGGGGTAAGGAACAGTCAAATAAGGGAACTGGGACTGAGATCATAGCAGAAAACAAGATGGGAGTAAAGAAACGTTGCAAAGTACATTTATACACAGCAATAAATTTATAAGGAATGCCAAGTGTGATTGTTTACTGCCATGGTTCAAACGGCTTACAGATCACAGCTGATGTAGTCTTTGTACAGACTGTCATGGTCCACATTATTTCAGCTGTATAAAGTGTCTGTGTGCAGTAGGAAATCATTTTGAGCAGTGAGCTACAGTAAGCCTGGGTGTCTGCAGGATCAGCATACATAAATTATGACAGTATGGTATGAAAACAGCTGGTTTTACTAAATTATCCGGCATCATTTCATATCAGCTTTTTTGACCGACGAATTCTACAGGGGACAGACCAACAAAAACAGCACAACTGAGGATGAAACTGAATCAAACTCTCCTGTCAACAAAGTGCTGATGTGTGCATGTGTGTGCTTCTAAAGAATCAAACCAACAGCTTTCTGTATTCCCAAACTGTTTTCAACTTGTGGTTGTGCGTGGTGTCCTGGGACAGCCTCGTGTGTGGATGTTTAGCCGGAGGAAAACACTTATCGTAATGTTATGTTGTTCTTTGACCACACACACTTTTGCTTGTTGTTGATACTTAGTACATCATCATGGACACGGTGACAGAAAATAATCTCACCTGCCTCGAGCGTCACACGAGAGGGGGTTACTGAGTTCAAAGAGTTAAACGCAATGTATAAAGGTCATGCGAGACCCCCCACGAGCCTCATCAGGATAAGCATTATGGATGGCTTTGAGTTCTGGACCCTTTTATTTGCTTCAAACAGCTGATCCACCAGCTGTACAGAGGTGATGCAGCATTGTTGGTGCACCATTGAACCTGTTTGCAAGGTGTCTTAATTGGACTTTCAGCATCACATGTTACAGTCATGTAGAGGCCTGACAGCCTCCTTTGTTGTTCAAGTACTTTGTTGTTCAAGTAAGGACTTGCTGACTAAGAGCAAATTACTCAACATAACAGAGGCAGGTCCTCCCACCCTGTTTTGGGCACTCCTTAATGTTAGCCTGTCTTTAGTTCAATTTTCGTGTCAGTGCTCTTGTTGAAAGGCTTTGATGTAAAACCTGACACAGTGGGTGAGTCCATGGTTGTTGTGCATTATGCTGATGTTTTGCCCCATTTGTGTATTTTTTCTTTGAATAGTCACTAGATCATGTAATTGTTCTCACGTCACTTCTTTGGTCTTTCGTGACCATCTGTCGTACAGTATGATGCATCTGGAAAATCAGGATAAAAGTTGTCAGTGGGTGGATGAGTGCATTCAGCACCATGAGGCTATGTCCATGATAAACAGAGTTTACAGGTCATGGAAAAGTTCAGACTCCTCCAGGATCTTTGAAAGTGTCCTTGAATCCTTACATATAAAGCATTTTTGTTGTAGGGAATTTCTCATTCAAACACAGAGAATTTTTAAATATGTGCCAGGTATTACTGGGTGTGTTCCAGCAGCAGCACAGCACAGATGAGAAATGATGTTTTGAGGACAGAATAGACTGAAACGAGGCCTTAGTATGTAATATATTTATATAGTGTCGCTGGAGATGCACAGGCCAAAGAGTAATGCAATTTTTTTTGGTGCTGGTTTACATCAGCTTTGAGGATGCAGCCATCATGTTTCAATAGAACTTTATTAGTTCCGTTCAGTTTTGTTTGCACAGTAGAGTGCCAGATCACAACAAAAAATAATCCTAGGGCACTTTACATGGTAAGATTTAGACCTTATTGTTTTTGTTGTAGAAAAACTCAACAAATGACCTAATGTGTGAGAAGGCTGATTAAAATGTACAGTATGAGTTAAAACATTGACCACAATCAACGGGAATCACAGTGTCTGCCTTGATTAAGACCGGAAACAACATTTCTAATCTCACTAATTAAGTCGTTTTATTTTCCCATTTTTACCTTTTACCTGGATTGGAAGGAATGTTTTACAATTTTTTGAGATTAAAGATTGATCTATAAATAAATGCAGGATTTTTTTCAGGCCTGTATTCTGTTCTTCAAGAAAAACCTGACTAAAAGGAATAAAGAAACGCAGTACACACAAGGAATAACCACTTCCTGTCTCTGCAGAGCGCCGAGGATGAGTCACAGTGGGTTGAAGACCTGATGAAGAGTCACACAGCCCGGGTCCGAGACATAGAAATCCTGACAGGCCTGGACCTCTACCGATCCACCAGCCTCACCTACACCAGCACCCTGAGGCTCAAAACCTACCTGCACACCTTTGAGAGTGACGACTAGATGCACAGAGACAGACATACACATACAGGACGTAGCCCTTTGTAGAAGTCCTACATTTTCACCGCATGCTCCCTGGACAGCCAATGTGCTGCTGTTCCACTCCTGAGGAACTGCCTGAGAAGTGCCTTGAAAAGGGAACACATTTTAAAAAATTAAAAAGATTATACGAGCAGTTTTGACAAGTCACAGTTTGGAAGGTTACAACAGCAATATTCAGTGCTATCCACGATATCTGAGAAAGAATAAGCTAGCATGGGAGCGTTGCAGGATGGGGGACTTTCTCGACAGCTACCACTACACAGAGATACAGTGTTGTTATACACACGTCAAAGAACCATGCCAGTGTTTTAGCTGCTTAGCTGTAAGTGACATGTACTTTATATTTCCACTAACTATGTATTACATGTTGTAGAATTTAAACATTTTTGAATGTGTTTTCTTACTCAAAAGAAAAACCGGTTAGTAGTCTCTTTAGTTGTGCAACTGATCTCGTAGAACATCAGCCCAGTGTTAGTTCAACATCATAGTGAGGTCACCCAGTGATGGCTTTTTATAGCAAACTGCACTCTAACCTTAAAATTAAATTTTCATACTGTATGGAAAATCAGTTGTAGCCAATGACTGAAAATTTGGAAAGGCATTAAAGCTAAATACAGTGTGTTTTACAAAAGTCAGCCATAATAAAAATGTATGTGCAGTTAATGTGCCAAAACATGCAAAATAGCTGGTATTTTTTTCTAAATGAATAGTTTGGCAGTGTAGAAAATACACAGATTTTCCTTCTTGCTGAGAGTTCAGTACAATAGATATAAACACACCAGACATGTCATGCTCACTAACAGCGGCGAGTATTCAGATTCCTTCAAGAGTTCATAAAATATGTGGCATTAAACACATAAGAAAGGAAGCTAAACGAAATGGATCCATATGGACAGACTCCCTGATAAATTTCATTATTGCCAAGAATTTTCTTCACTCACATGTCTGACTAGCAGCCTCTGTGGGTTACCACCAGGTGCCCACAGCGGAACCAGCCAGCTTTTTCGGTACTTTCTGATAAATAGTTTTGTTTTTGACTGCATAAAACGACAGTGTGTCAGTGACACGTAAAATGGTCAAAGGAAAATAAACTCAAAGAAGAAAAGTTGGAACAGTTCTCTCCTGTTTTTATGGCTTGCTGAAATTTCCAGTGAAAGAAATGACTGTTCACAACCAGAAAAAAAGGAACTGACAATTTCCAAACCTCAGCTGATCAGCTGGGTGTTTATTTTTACACAATTTGTCATATTTATTCCATAGCATCATTACAATAACATCTGTTCCCATTTTAAGAAATAGATCCTGATTTTTTTTCCAAGTCACATGACTGATGATCCTCTAAGAGAAAAATCTTTTAAATCTGGGTCTTTGAACTTCAATCCACAGTATATTCACATCACATCCCCTGCTCACAGAATCTGGAAGTGAATCTGATGATTCATTTCAAGTCACATGACTGATGATCCTCTAAGAGAAAAATCTTTTAAATCTGGGTCTTTGAACTTCAATCCACAGTATATACACATCACATTCCCTGCTCACGGAATCTGGAAGTGAATTTGATGATTCATTTTCCTCTTAATGTCTCATCATCATTTTCCTCTGCAATCTCATGTCCATATCTAAATATACTAGGTCATTAAAAAGCTGAGGGGAAAATGCAGTTAGCATGTTTGTGTTTAGTTTTTACCTGTATATACAGCAAAGTACAGCCTTAGCCCAGTTGCCATGTAGCACAGCAGTCTACTGAATACAACATTGTGTTATAGCTGACAAAAACAATATACGTGCTGTTAAATCGAGATCCAATGAGTCATTCAAAGATTCAGATTTGAGAACAAGAGCACAGATTATTTTAAGAGCCGGAGTTAGTAATCATTTGTATACTACACAATTGCTACACAAGAGTCATGCGTGCTTCACTTCACTTTACTGCAGTGTCAGCTGCAAAACTTTCATAATTAAAAATTAGAGCTTATCAAGTGAAGCTGTTTATCAGAGTTCCAAGCTCAAGGTTGCTGATAACGCTGAGATAACACACCATCTCATCTGCTTTGTTACAAACAGCTCCCAGTTAATAGCAGCCCAGTCTGAGTCAAATCAAATCAAATCAAATCAAATTTTATTTGTATAGCACCAAATCACAACAAAAGTCATCTCAGGACACTTTACAAAGTAAGGTCTTAGGTCTAGACCTTACTGTTATCAATATTATTACATAGGGAAAACCCAACAAATCCCCCTTGAGCAGCACTTGGCGACAGTGGGGAGGAAAAACTCCCTTTAACGGAAGAAACCTCCGACAGACCCCGGCTTTCCTCAGGACAGTGTTTTATTTAGCACTTGCCGGTCAGATTCGAAAAAAAAGCCCATAATGTCAAGCTGGTTCCTGATTAGCCTGATGCACCAGCATGGAAATGAACATAATTAACAGTATTGATCACAGCATGTGGACTGATTGCTGATCACGGGGTGTCACAGAATTGCAGAAGAACTTGTTTTTGATTGAAAGGTTCAGTCAGACTTCCCCTTGAAATCACCAGCGGGCTTGTTCTTCACTGAAAATATCGACAAAATCGAATTTCTTTTTTAAATGAATGTCTAACGGAATTTGAGCTCAAAGATAAAACTCAGTATCAACCTATTTGACGGCGCTGGAGAGTCCTCTGGACAGTAAGGAGACCTGATAGTTCTTATATGGCAGAAATAAGCACATGCTCTAGCATCAGCGATACACTACCAGAAGGAATATCTATTTTTACTGTGAAGGGATCAGCTGTTGAGCAGCACAATAAACACAACATCCATCAAAGAATGCACTTGAGCAGGTCAACGAGAATGAGTTTGAATTTTGATCTGGGTAAGGCTGAGGGTGAAGCACGAATCGGTCACAGAAGAGTAAAGCCTTATTACATACTTTGCCTTTTCTGCTGACAGGCCCAACCTCCCATGTAGCACAGCAGAGACCAGCCTGCACAGTCCACATCGCTATCACACATCAAAACATAAACTGCAAGCACTAAGCTCTTGCACAGAAAAAACAAAAGGGGTAATGGATTTCACAGTTTTGTTCTGTTTTTCCTCTTCTTATTTAATGCAATAGCAACCTATTTCGAAGTGTGAAATGTTAGTATGAGAAATGGGGCAAGATTTATGTGGATTTCAAATAGGTTTGTAAAATCCCATTAGGAACACTCACATCATGTAACGCAATACTGATGGTCTGTTCCTTTGGACTTTGCGTAGGCCTCTGTGTATGTAAACCTGACCGTATACCTGCTTAGAGCTGCGCTGTCACTTGTGCATCAAGGTAAAGTACCTATCCTGCATTGCCTGGTTGTGCACATCCTCAGAAATGAATGTCACACACCTGTCAGGGATAATCAGACTCTAGTTTGCCCCCTGGTGGATATTAATTCTCCACCTGAGCACAAGTATGCAAACAAGTATGTATGTAAACAATGACGCAGTTGTCATAGCTTTTGTCTACAAGTATGTGTTAGTAAAAGCAAGTATATATGTGGTTTCAGATGTGGCAAAGCTGCCATTTCCATCCTGGATGATAATTACTACTTCCTCAGCTT